ATTGTTGTTTATCTACTGCTAGAATTATAATGTTGTTTATCTACTGCTAGAATTATAATGTTGTTTATCTACTGGTAGAATTATATTGTTGTTTATCTACTGCTAGAATTATAATGTTGTTCATCTGCTGGTAGAATTATAATGTTGTTTATCTACTGCTAGAATTATAATGTTGTTTATCTACTGGTAGAATTATAATGTTGTTTATCTACTGCTAGAATTATAATGTTGTTTATCTACTGCTAGAATTATAATGTTGTTTATCTACTGCTAGAATTATAATGTTGTTTATCTACTGCTAGAATTATAATGTTGTTTATCTACTGCTAGAATTATAATGTTGTTTATCTACTGGTAGAATTATAATGTTGTTTATCTACAGGTAGAATTATAATGTTGAAGTACATCCTTAAAATTTCAATTATTGCTTTTTTCTTGAAAGGTTTGCGATACTGAGTATCTTAGTTTCTCACTTTCATTTCATGGAAGTATTTCAGCTGCTTTCTTAATGAATTCTACCTCGGGTAGTTGTTTGGTGATTAAAATGAAAAATTAACCACCACTATTTCTCCCGCCCCCCCCCCCCCATTCTTACAGGTTCTCAGCTACAAACTCGAGAACATTTGCCAGAAAATTCATATTAGAGTACTCTTCAAATATGGAAAGACATTGAAAGATCTCCTCACTACAATCAAACAACTGGTGATCCGAAAAACAGTAATCTACACTGCACCATGCAGCTATGACAAAATATATATGAAAAACTAGAAGAACTATTAGACCTGGTGAAGAAATTCAACAAATAATTCTAAACGTTGTTTACAAAAGGGAGGATCAGTCTAAATGAAACTATTCAACACGTTTCTTAATTTTGTTCCTTCTAAGTGTGCAGTATAATTAATAGGTTGCTGTTCACTAATCTATCCATTCGCTTTGAAAAGTATTTCTAGCCGTTCCTTTTTTTTATATTTTTTTTTGGTACCTTCCAATCAGAGTCCGTTGGTTTTTTCGACTGTGCATTGTTTTTCAACTGACCTGCTAAGTTCTATAAGTTAAAGTTCTTTTGTAGTTTTTCTGTACATTTTCTATAACGATCAAATAATTTCTTATCATAATTTGTTTGTAAATTGAATCTCTCATTCTACTAATTCTTTTAAATTCTTGTTTTTATCTATTGTTTAATATCCTGTTTTTTATATGAATAGTCTTTAAATTTACTTTTTAATCAACTTTTAATTTTCTGCCTATTTATTCCTGTCCACTGTGTTATCAAGTCTATTAAATGCCTTAGTAATTCACGTCAAGCAATGTGTTATCAAGTCTATTAAATGCCTTAGTAATTCACGTCAAGCAATGTGTTATCAAGTCTATTAAGTGCCGTAGTAACTCACGTCAAGCAAGTGCCGTAATATTGTAAGGTCAGCCAAAATTCTATTATATTTTCACGAAAAGAATGGTGTTCCTGAGAGTTATGTTCTGCTGGCTTCGATCGTTGGCCTGTTTTTCTTTAATATTTTATTATTCGGTAAAAGAATTAATGGAAATTTCAGTCGTCTTAACAATAATAACAACGTTCGCCTTTAGACCTAGCATCACAAGTAAGCCACGTTGGACACAAAGTTATTATTATTACCCTAAACCATACAAAAAGTACGAACAATAAATTACTATAAAACTCTCCAACGTTGTTACATCAAAAACATAGTGAAGGGTTATGTACAACAATATTTAGTGTGATGTTCTGTCTAGAAATAGCATAGGGTTATGTACAACAATATTTAGTGTGATGACCTATTTAAAAATAGTGTAGTTATATACAACAATATTTAGTGTGATGACCTATTTAGAAATTGTGTAGAATTATGTACAACAATATTTAGTGTGATGCTCCGTCTAGAAATATTGTATGGTTATTTTCAACAATGTTTAGATGTTGTTCTATCTAGCAATATTGTATGGTTATGTACAACAATGTTTAGGGTGTTGTTCTGTCTAGCAATATTGTATAGTTTTGTACAACAATATTTAGTGTGGTGTTTTGATAGAGGTATTTAGTTTGATATTGGTCTAGAATCTTGAGGATTATGCATAGACGAACGTAGTATAGATTAATTATATCATGCACGTATTAAAATGAACGATGATCATGTATATGTATAATGGTTCATAAATAACATAAACTCATGAAAACCATACTCCTGAAGGGAAATGTCTAAAATAGAACATCTTTTCTCAGTTTTCAATTTTCCTTTTCAATGTTTTATTTTTTTCGAGGGTCGTATTTCTCACTTTTGAGAGAAGCGTTCTTTTTTAATTACCATTTTCATTCCTAATTCTTTGTCTCTTATTTTATACTTTCAACAGTAATATTCTAGTTTCACGTCTGTCTTCTCGGTTTAAGAACCACTTGTGATCAATTGGTTTCTTTTGGACATATTTTTCCTACGTAGGACAGTAATGTTTTGATTTTATCTTTTTCCTGGTTTAAGATCATCGTAAAAACGGGTGACTTCTTCTGGAACTATCCTTTCTACTTGGGACGCTAATGTTTTATTTTGTCTTATTTTCCTGGTTTAAGATCCTCGTAAAAACGGGTGACTTCTTCTGGAACTATCCTTTCTACTTGGGACGCTAATGTTTTATTTTGTCTTATTTTCCTGGTTTAAGATCCTCGTAAAAACGGGTGACTTCTTCTGGAACTATCCTTTCTACTTGGGACGCTAATGTTTTATTTTGTCTTATTTTCCTGGTTTCAGATCCTCGTAAAAACGGGTGACTTCTTCTAAAACTATCCTTTCTACTTGGGACGCTAATGTTTTATTTTATCTTTTTTCCTGGTTTCAGATCCTCGTACAAACGGATGGCCTCTTCTAGGTTCACCTTTCCCAATGTTAACAATAATCGCGAGTTATGTTTACTTCGTCAAAGTTCTTGGCCCTGTGTGGATGAAGAACCGAAAACCTTTCCAGATAGAAAATATCATTATTGCATATAACGTCGTCCAAGTCATACTCAGTGGCTTCTTTTTCTTTTATGTAAGTGCCTAGGTTAGAAGCAGTAAAAAAAAAATATATTTTCAGTATTGTAATAAAGAAAGTCAGCACAATTTCGACTTGCAAAAAAAGCCCATCAAGAGGAGGAAAGTGTAAACTGTAAAATGCATATCTATTAGGTCGTCAAGAAATTAATGTCGTATTTTGGAACACTTTCATTAACCATCCCCCAAAAAACGTACACCACGTATAATGGTTAAACGAACCGCCTGAACGTCACGTTAGTGTAGCCTATATAATGTGTAAAGGGATGGCACACGACGAGACGCACATTCACCATGTAATGCTGTTTGAATAAAAGAAGGGAAACAACGCCTCTGTACCCACAAACAATATCAAAGAAGTTTATGGAAATGTTTTGAACGTTCGTAAGTGTCAATGATGGTTCAGGTGACTTTAGCCTTAAAAACTGTAATGGCAGGCGCCAACATGTTGGAATTGATATTGATGCTCTGAAGACGCTTGTTGAGTCTAACCCATGGCAACACACTCGTGAAATGGCACCGAAATTGCATGTCTCTTATGAAACAATACGTAAACATCTAAGGAATATGGGAAAACTCCACAAAGAAGGTCTTTGGGTGCCTCACGAACTCTCCGATGATCATCGTTTTCAACGTGTGAACGTTGCTTCGTCTCTTCTGGTGCGTAATGCGACTGAACCATTTTTGGACAGAATTGTCACCGGTGATGAAAAATGGATTCTCTATGCGAATATTATACGCCAAAAACAATGGCTCAGTCCTAGATAAAAACCACTACCGACCCCAAAACCTAGACTCCATCCGCAGAAAGTGACGCTTTGCATTTGGTGGGACATCAAAGTAGTAATTCATTTCGAACTCCTCAATCCACAGCAAACTGTCAAAGCAGAGATCTATAGTCAGCAACCGGAACATTGAAATCAAGCCCTTCATCAGAAACGCCCTTCAATCAGAAAGGTGTTCTTCTCCACGACAATGCATGTTCACATGTGGCACATTTGACGTAACACAATATTATGGAGTTGGGTTGGGAAGTTCTCCACCACCCACCATATTCTCCAGATATGGCACTATCAGATTACCATCTTTTTCGTTCGCTGCAACACCATCTTAATGGGAAAACGTGTGGAAGGTGTTAAAGAGGACATCAACATGTTCTTTGCTTCAAAGCCAAGTGACTTCTTTAATCAGGGCATTAACAACCTGATTGTAATATGGAAAAGCATCATCGATAAGAATGGAGATTATTTCATTTAATAAATGTTTTATTTTGATATATAAGTTGTTCAGGTTTTTTCTTCTAAAAAAAAGCGACATCAATTTCTTGACGACCTAATAGTATTGTAATAAAGAAAGTTGGGTGATTTTCTAACAGTTAAAACTTGCTTTACATCTGTCAAGTTGATTTTCTAACAGTTAATACCTGCTCTACGATATAAACAATGTTAGTAGTTTTGTTTTTAACTAAGTATTTTACTTTCGTGTTTCTCAAAGTGTTTCTATGTGCTATTTCAGGGCGGTAGTTTAACTTACTTATCGGGCAACTACAACTGGCTTTGCCAACCCATAAATTATGCAACGGATCCTGAGGCTATAACAGTGAGTTGAAATTAAAAGTTAATAGAATTATTACCTAGACAGTAAATAGTTAGTTAACAATAAACAGTGGTGATGTCTTTCTATTTTTAACAATAATGGGACATCAATAAAATTTTTAAATCATAATTATATAGCTATATAGTTCAAACAATACTAACTTGAGAGTAAAATGTAAATAATATGATTGTTTTGAACAATATGGACACGTGACTAAACGTTTTATGTCATAGTGATTTGGTTTTTAGAACGTATGAAACAACCTACAACATGCAATGTTAAAGAGTGTTATATAATGATACAAGCAACGCATTCCACAATGATGAAGTATTAGCAAACAGACTGCACTGAGATTTTTTTTCTTTATAGCTGGTAAAACTGGGCTGGTGGTATCTCCTCCTGAAAATTGCTGAATTTCTTGATACTGTGAGTATCGTTTGTTGACAATTAAAATTTAAAATAACTTTGGTTTAGAATCATTTCACGGTATAATTTATTGAGGAAATCTTATAGAGATTGATTTTCGTGCCTTCTGCGTATAAGAATCTTACAAAGATAAGTCATCGGCTCTTCTACGTAGATAAAACGTTAATAAAACCTTCGGGTCTCCTACAGAAACAAAACTTTAAAAAAAGTTAACATTCGGCTCTCCTACGTAGATAAAACGTTAATAAAACCTTCGGGTCTCCTACAGAAACAAAACTTTAAAAAAAGTTAACATTCGGTTCTCCTACGTAGATAAAACGTTAATAAAACCTTCGGGTCTCCTACAGAAACAAAACTTTAAAAAAAGTTAACATTTGGCTCTTCTACGTAGATAAAATCTAATAAGAATGTGTTAGATCACAAATGTAATTTTTATATGATTCCCGCTCAGTCAAATAGAAAACTGTATTCATTTTCAGATGCTATAAGTAGTTCAACGACTTTATCATATACCTAACTAATACTTATCATTAACATTAAAATCCGTTATTGTAAATATCTGCATTCACGCACTGGCAGCATATTATATTTGTTTAACTCGTATCTGTGATCGAAACGATAGAATTTTATAGCTTATCCTTCTATAAAGTGTTATCTACTTAAACCATCGTCCTAAAGTTTGTGACTAACACCCCTTCCCCATCCTTTTTTTTTCTGTTCCAGATCTTCTTTGTCTTGAGAAAGAAATTCACCCACATATCAGCTCTTCACGTCTTACATCACTCTCTGGTGGCCTGGGGTATCTGGATCGGCATGAAATTTGGTGCTGGTTAGTATACAAAAACAATTCCTTTTTGGTTAGCATTAGAGGAAATCCCCCCAAAGCGAAACTGAAACCTTCTAAAAGAAATTTCAGTTCATCCATAAAGAAGTCAAACATTAACACATTCAGCTTAGCTCCTAATTCACCACATCACAGATTTCACTTTATCTCTATATTAATACATTCAGCTAAGCTCCTACTTCACCACATCAGTGAGATTCATATGTGAATTAGAATAAAATGGTGCAAAGTGTGTTATTCCAAGTTGCTTTATTTTGCTGTGTTTGTGAGATATCACTTTGTCAGCTTTTTATATATGGATGGGCAGGATTCTTTACAGTAAGTGTATGTGAGGTTTTGGCGATAACTTTCAACAATAAACAAACAGCATACAGTCCACTTGTTTCAAAATAGTATATTAAAACAAGTCAAACGAATATACAAATGTTCATTACACTGTTAATTATCACAGTTGTATCCAGAGCTTTAAATAATCGTCTATTTTCGTCAAAGTTCACAGAGGCTGGTTCTGTTACTTTAGAATACAATTGACAAAGCGAATTATTTTTCTCTGCTCTATTATTGCAATACAATCGGTGATAAGTTCACTTACGTTACATTTTTGGTTACCACATTTGTATCCAGAGCTTTAACTTTTCGTCAAAAGCCCACACAGGTTTATTCAATTACTTTAGAACACAATTGACAAGACACTTTATTTTTCTTTGCTCTGTTGTTAAAAACCAATCTGTGATAATTTCATTTTACAAAAAACGCCACTATAAGCTCTTTTACAGCTAAACTTACAAAAAAACAGTCTAGGTCTATTTCACTGTATCTCTCACTAACTTTGTTTTAGTTGAATTACATTTTGGACGCATATTTATTAATAGCTAAACTGAGCCTAGAACTTTTCCCACACTACGAGATATTATGATGGAATAACACTCGAGAAAAACTTAGAAGGTTCTAGTAACATGACACAATAATGCAACAACCGTCAGTTTACAATAGTTGAACTACACAACATATAATTCGCACAGTTACGTAAACAAACCTGCGATAAACTATCGCTTCTAAAAATAACTAAATTTAACACTCACACTACACTTAAATTAAAACAGCAGTGCCGGATTAACCATGAAGCAAACGATTCAGTTGCCTCAGGGCGATAAATATTTATGAATATTGCGATATTCGATTTATATATTTATTTCTTATATTTGAAAGTTTGTTTTTAATACAATAAGGTTTTTTTTTATTTCTTATATTTTAAAGGGCCTCCATAAGGATATTTGCCTCAGGGCCTCCACATACCTCAATCCGGCCCTGTTAAAAACAGCCATGCGTATTTAATACACCTAATGATTAAACTAAAGCAGAATTTTGGCTTTTCTTTCTTCTCTTCGGCGTTATTGCATGGAGTTCACGTACTTTTGTATGTTACATCAACCCCACACACTAGACGCTTCAACTTTAATCACTGTTGCCCCCCCAGTGGCACAGCGGCATGTCTGCGGACTTACAGTGCTAGAATGCGGATTTCGATACCCGTGGTGGGCAGAGCACAGATAGCCCATTGTGTAGCTTTGTGCTTAATTACAAACAAACTAATCACTGTTGTTCAATTAGGTCCTTGAAGGGAAGCAACTTTTAGGGAAGTAATATACAAATCAGGATATTGTTAATGTAACACACATTATCAAGTAGATTACATGAGATTGGAAAGCGTTTTACTATGACAACGTGTGAGAGTGACCAGATAAAGGGCCAAATTTATTAATATTAATAAAGGTCCTCTCTGAATACCTGTTGATGTGGCATACTTTCAACATTATTTTTTTATGTACAACTAAATAGACAGAGGCAAGAAGATCCGAATAGATTTAATCGCTTCTTGCTGCTATCGTTAGTGTCATTGTAGAACATACAATTTCAGAGACAGGGGAGGTATCCGCTGAGCGTGGTCACTAGGTGCTCACATTGTAAGCGTTCAGTCGACCGTTTCTTACTACTTTTAGTGTTCATATTTTTTTATTTAGTTTTTTTTTCTAGCGGCCAATAATAGAGAAATACGGGTTATTTTGAAAGCCATTTTAAAGCATATTTTACATTTTTGACAATCATACTTTGCAAACGTTTCCTCTTTACATTCATAACAGTGAAAAAAAATACTTGCACAATTTTTTGTAATGCTGGGGAAAGATTGGATGTACTGGAATTGGAAAATTTATGGAAAAATTCACGTGGCTCTAGAATGAAAAATAGATAAAACTGATCAATGAAGTTTGGCAGACTTGTTCGAGAGGTGCATAAATGTTCAGGATAAAGCAAAACATTTGCCATTCTTAATTCTGGAGAAGAGTGATATTCATACATTTCTTATGCATAATTAACAAAGTAGGTAACCAGAAAAGACTACAGGAGATTTGTTTCTTCGTTGTTTTTTTTTTTTGTTCGTTATTTTTCGTTGGCTACAAAACTACTGTTTTGTTTGATTAGCCATTCTCTTCAAATCCAACAAAATAATTCCGTCTCACTATTCCCAAAAACATTAATAACCCTTCTTCTTCTTCTTCAAATTCTACAAAATATGATCGTCTTACCATTATATATTTATACAAGTGTAAATAATATTTAAATAAAAAATTAGGAATTAGGAATTGCAGCACAAAAAAGTAAAAAACAAGGTAGGAATGGGCGGGATAATATTACCACACTTGGTGGTTTTTGACATGGTGCAACCTCAAAGTGGGTGTGGCCATTGTTTCTCCCTTTCCTATCTTCTTGTGCTTTTTGTAATTTGGTAGTTGTTCAAACTAAATGAAAGGCATATATAGCTAAATTTCTCTGTTGTAAACTTTGTTTCAGCAACCAAGTACAGATACATATATGTAATCAAATTATGTAACCCTAACGAAATGCATGACATCATAAGGGGGTGTTTGATGTTGGAAGTGAGACAGGAAGCTCCAATAATCATGCATACTTTGCTTATGGGATACATTATAGCTATCTGACTGGTAAATGGTGGGTCAAAAGATTAGTATCAAACCACTGACTTTTGAATTTTTTTAATTTGTTAAATATTTACAAAGGATTAGCTACTGATAAAACTCAAATCAAGTTTATAATTGGATCAAAGTTCAAAGGAAAGAACGAAGTAGGAATGGACGGAACGATGGCCACACCCACAATGAGGTTGCACCGTGTTAAAAACCATTAAGTGTTGTAATCTTTTCCCGCCCATTCATCTCGTTTCCTTTTTTTTTGTGGTGCTCCCATTCCTACTTCCTAATTTTTTTACCTAAAACTTTTTTACACTTGTCTCATAGCTTTGTTTTTGGGTACTAATTTCGAGAGTGACTGGGCTCTAGGCCTATCCTTCTCATAGTTTT